CACACACACAGGGAGCTGTGTTTTTACTTCACACACAGGTCTGATGTCATCACACACAAATAATGACTAAATGAACATTAACAAAGAAGAAATGCTCTGAATAATTTGTCTCTGTTGAACTTCCTCTAATCGTTCAGCAGCGTTTCTTTGCATTAGACCACATTTAGAGGCTGTTATTCACTCCGAGTCTCTGACGACGTTTGTTCTTCTTTTTGGAGCATTTTATTGTGTATTTGTGGTCATTTTTATTCTCTTCCTGGTTGTTGAGTCTCTTGTTGAATGTCGGATCGCGCCCATCGTGTCTGACGTCTTTGTGCTTCCTCCCGACAACAAAGTTCTGTGTTTGTATTTTTGCTAGTTTTCTTTATTTTAAATGTAAAGTTTGCAGATGCAGCAGTGACAAAGCTCACCACGAGCTCACTTATAGCTTAACAGAGTTCCTCTTTCTGCTCCGTGGAGACCGAGCCGAAGGCCGCAGATCACCGGCTGTGGGTGCCGAGCGCAGTCGACGCACAGAGCGGCACAAGAGAGACGCTACTAGTGAGGCCAACGCGTTCATTAGGGAAGTTGCTCAAGACGGGCAATTTTTTTGTTAAAAGTTGCTAAATGGCGTTGTGATGTCATTGCGTAATAACGTGACACTGCGTCATTACGTAGAATACAAAATAACGTTACTCAGATTGTCAATCTTGGCAAAAAATATGATTTGACATGTTTTAGTTATCTGTTATTACATATTTTTATTTGTAGAAGTAATATTAACACAACATATTTTATGTGATCGGATGTTGAATTATTGAACAATTCTAGTTTCAAGCAGTCTATTGGTAGTTAATTAACATACTACCAAACTGACCAACAATTACAGATACAAGCTAATAATAAAGTGCAGTTGCTTGAACAAGCAACTTAACTTAAATAACGATGTGTGCACTCCGACGTTTGATTCTTCCCGCACACCCAACATCAGTCAACTGGACCGGGTCTTAAAGGCTACGACGTTTTTGACACGTTAACTAAAGCGTGAGTTTCTTAAAGCCATCACCAGTCCAAGTGCTGAGCGCCGTGTCCTCAGTGAGGTGTGATCTATATGTCACAGTATCGTTCCCCTCAGAGTTCTGCATTTCTCTACAGTTTCCATCTCCACTCTGCAGCAGACTGACCACAGACAGAAGAGCACAGAGCAAAGACACTCTTCTTCTCATCAACCAAACCCTTCTAATACTTCAACTTGAGCTTTTTCAGGTCCACAGGTTCAATACGTCGCTGTTCCTTCCAGCTGCAGAGTCCATGTGGACATCGTGGACTCTTTCATTACTTTCTATAAACTCAATGATTTTCATATTTCTCATAATATCTTTTCTCTTCAGTAAACTACCAATGAGAGTGTGTCCTGTGATGTTGTTCTGAGTGTGACTGTGGTTCCTGATGTGCTGTGTTACAGTGATACAGAGTCAGGATGGATGGAGAGTGGATTACGATCAGACTGACGTCTGTGCTGCAAAAGGATCAACAGTGTATATAAGCTGTGACATCACATACCCACCTGGAAAAGATCCCTCTGATATAAAGGACAGATTCTGGTTCACTAAAGAGAAAGATGGTGAACCTGTGGATCTGAGAACAGACTCTGAGTATTCAGACCGTGTGACGTACAGATGTTTTAGTAAGGAATGTTATCTGACCATCACAGACGTGAGAGAGAGCGACTCAGCTGAGTACAAATTCAGATTTGGGACAAACAAACCAGGAGAGAAATATACTGGTTCACCTGGAGTCACTTTGTCTGTCACAGGTAACATTTTAATTCACATATTAATCATCTACAAATGTTCAACATCTAGAAAACTAGAGTATAAATGTCTTCTGTGAATGTTGACACTTTACTAAATAATATTCACTGATTCAGGTTTCCAGGTGCAGGTGAGAAGATCAGATTCTACCTGGTTGGAGCTGACGTGTCACAGCAGCTGTGTTCTGCCTGATCGTCCTGAATACGTCTGGTACAAGAATGAAGAGATCATCAAGACAGGATCTTCTCTTCCTGTCTCCTCTGGTTCTACAGACAGATATTCCTGCTATTTAACAGGATATTGGAATCAACGTTCTCCTGCAGTGTGTAAGTTCACTCCACTGTGTCGGCCTGTGGAGCTTCAACAACATCTCACATGGAGGCACCAGACCGCTGCATGTAAACTAGAGGCATCAAAAAGATGAAGCACAACGTTCCTCAGGAGGTGGAGCCGTGGTCCACTGACCAGAGGGTTGCTGGTTCAATCCCCGGCCCCTGCAGTCTACGTGTAGAAGAGTCACTCACACACTGACACAACAATATGATTCTAATCACAGCTGTAAACACACTGGAGTCTAAATGTTAAAGGAGACACAGATCTTTATTTATGTCATTCTCTTATTAATAGAAACACAAATATAAACTATCAGCAGACAGAATAATGTGATTTTCATAAAGACTCAAGTGAATTATTCCAGAACATAAGTAGAAGTGACGTGTCAGCTGGTGGAGGAAACAATCAATAACTCCTACAACAACTAGAAGTGAGAGGACAGACTCAGCTAAGGACACAAGCAGCATCTAAAGAGAAGAATGTGTGGAGATATGAACATTACAAAGGATTAAAGGCTGCTTATTGTCACTTTACACCAGCAGGAGTCTCACCTGTGACAGCTGCTGTGATGAATACTAGAGATAGTCTGAGAGAAAGACACACAAGTATTCATTCAAATGATCAACTATCTACGCTAACATCTTCTAACCTCTTAGTATGTTTATTCACGTCTCCTCCAGATGGTCCACAGCGTCCCTCTGTGTCAGTGAGTCCCTCTGCTGAGATGCTGGAGGGCGATTCAGTGACTCTGACCTGTAGCACTGATGCTAACCCAGCAGCTAACTACACCTGGTACAAGCAGGGTGGAACGTCAGACCCTCGTCTTCTCAGTGAAGAACCTCATCTGGTCTTCAGCTCCATCCAGTCCTCTGACTCTGGAAGGTATTTCTGTACAGCTGAGAACCAGCTGGGGAGGAAGACGTCTGACTTCATCTCTATCGACGTGAAATGTGAGTGAAACAACCTTTTTAAAAGCAACATAATCACTACTGAGGTAGTGTTTTGTTATGAACGTCTATTTATTGAACTCTAACTTGTAACAATATGTTGACACTTCTCCTCCAGATGGTCCACAGCGTCCCTCTGTGTCAGTGAGTCCCTCTGCTGAGATGCTGGAGGGCGGTTCAGTAAATCTGACCTGTAGCACTGATGCTAACCCAGCAGCTAACTACACCTGGTACAAGGAGCATGAAGACTCACCACGAGCATCAGGACAGATCTTCACCATCACTAACTTCACAGCTGAACACAGTGGGAATTATTACTGTGAAGCCCAGAACGAGATGGGACGTAGTAACTCCACCTTACGTCTGATTACTTCTTCAGGTAAATCACACTCATTCTTCTGTTCTCTCACATATTATATCAACAATCCAACTAAAGAAGTGACTCACAGTAAACGCAGCCTTTAGCTCCTGTCCTCCACTCAGTGAAGCAGGAGAGCATTGTGGACTAGAAGGTGAACCTGAGCAGATACACTATGACCCCACTGAGAATCAAACCCTGGACCCTCGGTTCATCACTTTAAAGCTTCACCAGCTGAGCGTCCTGCAGACATCACGTGGTCTGATGCTGCGTCGTCTCATCAAATGATGAAGTCAGAAGTAGAAGGAACAAGAAGAGTCACGTTAGAAGAGCTGAAGATGTTGATACCTGAACAGAGTCTGTAGCTGTAAGAATGCAGGAGCAGCTCAGTAAGAGAAACGAGTCTGGAACAAACACAATGCTGTTATCAACACAACAGTTAGCTACCATGCTAACTAGTCAGCTTTGAGTATTAGCAGCAGTATTTTTGGGGGTTTGGATTGTTTCTCCAAAACGTCTCCTCACTGAGTGTGTTTAGTTTGTGTAGCAGTTATTCCTCTATGTAACGTGAGGGTCTGTGGGGGTCCCGGAATAATGAGGATGCGACTGAGGGTTTCAGTGTACAGTTGAGGCTGAGGCTGATTCTGCCTCCACCCAGCACCGTTCCCAGAACCACTACCTTCTCCGTCCCCTCTGCAGCCGAGCCAAACCACGCCCGCCACCAATCTCTACAACAGTTGCCATGGCAACAGGACACAATAAAATGGCCGCCGCTCTGACCAGTCAGCTACGTTGTTTTGATAAGACGTTCTACTCATATTTATTTTGAGTTAAATTCATCATCTGCATAGAGCAGATCTTAAGGTCCCAGATCTTCTGTTTCACTGAGTTAAACATCTTATTTCCGTCCTGTTGGTCCTTAATTTACCCACCACATTTAATACTTTATATTTGTTGTTTATTTTCTTTCCTGTGTAGGAAAAAGGAGCCTCCAATGGTTGGACGGCAGCGTTTGCGTCCACATCTGCTATTTTCCTGGTGATCATCATGATCCTCACTGTCCTCATGATCAGGTGAGCGGTTCAACTTCACTGATGAAATGTAGATGTGGATCTTACATTCAAGCAGTCGTTGAATCACTTGATTTGATCTTTTGTTTGTTCATTAATTTATTTTTCTGTCCAGAAGAAAAAAGTCTCCACCAAGCAGCCGGCCTGCAGAGAGACCAGAGAACAACGCTCAGGTGAGGAGGACGAGCTCAGTGTGGAGGCCTCTGGGAACATCTGGGAACATCTGGGATCATCATGTCAGGCCTGTGAGGCGGGGATTTAAAAGCCAACAATTAAAATATAATACAAGTTCATATAAATTAGGAAGTAAAAGTTACCAGCAACACTGGGAGTTCAACTCCAGGTAAAAACCGGCCCACCGGGAGGTTTTGTCAGGTCCCTCTAGTTCAGCCCACTCCTACGTCCTGGTTCTTCTTCAAACCATCTAGACACCACCTGTCGCTCCCTCGTCCTCCTCTGGCGTTTTCCCTTTTTCCTGATGCGCTTTACGATTATTGACTCAATTTGAGTTAAAATAGGGTCCAACATACATCGGGTAAAATGTTATGCTGGCTTTCTGGGACTGGACTTCCCAGTTCCCGAAGCTCCGCAGGAAGGACGTCGCTTCGGGCTTCGGAGTCAAACCCCCGTTACGCATCAGCTCTGCGGCGAGCAGCAGCTCCAGCGCCGCCGCGTGGCTCCGGCACAGAGAAGGCCCGTACTCGCCCAGCAGCCGGCCCACCATGCGGTGCGTGACCTCCGCTGCCCCAGCGGGGCACGAGAGCAGCGGCGCCTCCCTCCCGGCGAGCGCCTCCTGCGTGGCGGCGAGGAAGCGGCGCAGAGAGAAGTAGTAGGCGGGGGAGAGGCGGGAAACCTCCTGCAGAGCCCGGTAGAAAGACGCCGCCAGCCCAGTGAGCTGCCGCGCTGCCGCCAGCAGCGACTCGTGGCGCCGCCGCTCCGCCGCCAGCCGCCGGGCCTCGGCCTGCAGCCTGGTGGTCGCCTCCCGACGGGCGGCGGCGTACGGCAGGAAAGCAGCGTCCTGCAGCGGCGAGGCGCTGGACTGCAGGACGTAGTCCATCAGGGAGTCCTGAGAAGAGACGCAGACCCGATCAGCAGCTTCACGTGTTCACGTCATTGGTCACATCGCTGCCAATCAAACGCCTGCTGACCACCACGTCTCACCTCCTCAGAGACGAGTCTCTCCTGCAGCATCCGCTCGTCACGCCGGAGCCGGCGGCGTTGGAGCAGCAGCTCGCTGCACTCGGCCTGCAGCAGCTGACTCAGCATCAGCTCCTGGATCTCGTCGGAGCTCGGGGAGAGGTCGACCACGCCGACCCGAGCCAAGATGGACGGGTGGATGCCTGCGGGGCCGAGGCAGGAAAGGGGAACGATATGGTGCTTTCTCCTTTAGACATCAGCACAGAACAAGGTCTTAGCGAGTCATGGACCCCCCTCACCGCCGCGGAGGAGCTGGACGGGCAGACGGGTGCTGAGGAACAGGCGGAAGCCCGGGTGGGTCGCACAGAGGCGCTGACGAGGAGCCGGGCGCCGCAGTCGGGCCAGAAGAGCCGGGTCAGGAGGCGCTCGCTCCACGCGGGTCAGCAGGACCCTCAGGCCTGAGACACAGAGGGGAGGGAGTGAAGGACTGAGGCCACGGGGGGCCCCCGGGTCGGGCTCCGCTCACCTCTCTGCGCAGCCTGGTCCAGCCGGTCCAGCAGCTCCGGGTCGTCGGCAGAGAGCAGCAGCTCGCAGCGCGTCTCCTCCTGCAGCCGCATGTAGCATGTAGCCGCTAAGAACCGAGGACAATGATTCAGGATGGATAAATAGATCCATATGCAGCATAGAGCCAGAGCCCCGGGGTACCTGCACGGGGGCAGCTGTGGGAGCTGGTGTTGGGGGGTCGATGGGGGTCGACCAGCAGAGGCCAGCGCCGAGCACAGGCGCTGTCGCAGCCCCACAGCAGCAGCTTCTCCAGCGGCCTGGCGGGCGCAGCGTCCCGGTGGAGGCCCAGAGCCCGAGCCAGAGGCCAAAGAGGACTGTGGGACGCGGGGATGGGGAAGCCGAGGGGGGGGCGAGGGGGCGTGGACACGGGGCGTGTGAATAGGGAGGTTCTGGGGTCTTCTGGGTTCACGTCTATGCTCCCGGTCTCAAGGAGCTGCCTCCACTTACTCAGCAGCTGCGTGCGTACGTCGGGTCCAAAGGGACCCAAATAAGAGACGACGGCAGCCAGGATGAGGGCGTCTCCTCGGAGGGATTGCTCCTCAAGCTTCAGCTCCTGGGGGAGGAATGCAGAAACCATCTCAATCAATCAAAGAATCGGAAATAGAGGATCAGGACTACACGCAGCCTGCTTCTCGTAGAGGATCAGGACTACGTGGAGCCTGCTTCTCGTAGAGGATCAGGACCAAACGGAGCCTGCTTCTCGTAGAGGATCAGGACTACGCGGAGCCTGCTTCTCGTAGAGGATCAGGACTACACTGAGCCTGCTTCTCGTAGAGGATCAGGACCAAACGGAGCCTGCTTCTCGTAGAGGATCAGGACTACGCGGAGCCTGCTTCTCGTAGAGGATCAGGACTACGCTGAGCCTGCTTCTCGTAGAGGATCAGGACTACACTGAGCCTGCTTCTCGTAGAGGATCAGGACTACACTGAGCCTGCTTCTCGTAGAGGATCAGGACTACACTGAGCCTGCTTCTCGTAGAGGATCAGGACTACGTGGAGCCTGCTTCTCGTAGAGGATCAGGACTACGTGGAGCCTGCTTCTCGTAGAGGATCAGGACTACGTGGAGCCTGCTTCTCGTAGAGGATCAGGACCAAACGGAGCCTGCTTCTCGTAGAGGATCAGGACTACGTGGAGCTGGTACCTGAGCAGCGGCCCTGCAGCCTCTGAGGTGTGTCTCCATCTCGTCTGCAGCGGAAGCAGCTTCTCTCTCGGAGTTCTCCGCTGTGAGGAGCTCCAGCTGTTCCTCCTCCACTTCTTTTTGTACCAGCTGCAGTCGGAGCTCTGCCTCCTCCTGGCGACGGAGCTCCTCCTCCAGGCGCCACTCTGCCAGCCGCAGTCGACGCGCGGCCTCCGCGGCCGCGGTCTCCGGTCGCATCGGCTCTGTCTGCCGGCGGCAGCACTCGAGCACCGCTCGGAC